AAAAACGTCAAAAGCTTCAATAAAATACTAACTATATGACGAAGTGGTTTTGTAAATGCATTGTTTCCACCAAGATAGCAAAACATATGTCGGCCGGAATGAGGTAGAGATGCAATTCACGTTCGTATGCGGAGACCTCGACGAACTTCTAGTGACTGTACCAGAAATGAATTATTACACAATTGCAACACTATTGCTTCGTGAACTGCCATAATACTACATGTCACACTTTAACGGATGCATTTGCATAGGAAAATTAGCTAATAACACGAAAATTCCTAACAAAGTACAACTGACCTAATGTTGAATTAGTAGCCTGTCTCCGTAAGAGGTTTCCTAGAATACTCATGGTGAACGTATGGTTAAATTTACCTTCCACTGGCATTGCCTCCTTCCCTCTCTCCTTAACTTTAATATTGGACTTTCGTCTGTGATTCTTAATCTGCATAATGGGATGTGCATTCTCCCTCTCAGTAAGTAGCTATATACTATAATAAAATCGTGAGTGTAAAGTACAGGATAAGGAAATGATTGAATTTATATAGGTTATGCATAATATGCAATCGTGCATGACAACGACTTGGCACTTCTGTTGCCATTCCCGCTGTATGATGTAAATTAAACAGAAATTGGCAAAAATATCGTTATGTAAGTTTGAGAAGCCCTTCCGACTAATGAAGCCATAAATATACCTTGTTTAGTTTGTACCTAAATCTGGTCCTTGATAAGCAAGTAATATTATCTCTGCTCCTCTCAAGGTCTTGGATACACCGCTAGACGATACCTCATTCTGATAATTTTGTCCCTTTAATTAATATATAGAATACTCCATAATTTCTACTTGCTCATCCATGCTTCTTTGCCGTTTTCTCTGAGCTTCATCCAGCCTTGTTATTCGTACAAGTTGACAGAGAGAGAATTTTTAGGCATCGATAGCCAAGTAAAGGAAACCGAGGGATACATTCACTAGTTGTCACAGATTAAAGAATTAGACAGCAGTGCAAATGCATGAATTGGTTAATGGTAAAATAAATGTGCTACGACGATTAGAACAAATGGAGTATGAGGAGGATGGATGTCGGCAGTCACCTTAAATGGAGAGGGAAAGGGAACAGAGAAATCGGATGGATGAGGGATAAGCATTTTGGGGGGGACCACGTTAAGGAAGTTTTGAATGTCCTCAAGAGTTTTTGAAAGGGAGCTGGTTGGGGAGGTCTGAAGAACGAAGATCTTTTTATGAGAGGGGGAAGAGGAGGAGCAGATGAAGAGGTATGTATAGGAGAGGAAGTGGAACGAAAGATTGTAGATTGTATGATGCGACGGGTAAAGGGATGCTTCCTGTTTGGCCTCCATAAAATGAGGCCAAGTTTGAATCTAAGAACTGCTACCTCAGACGCAAAATTGTAGGTAGGGCATCCCCTGTAATTGGCACTCGTGCGTGATTGCGCAGAGCAGTTTGAGTAATTATGACCAGGTTGCGCACATAGATGGCAGCGGGCTGTGGAGCGACAGTGTTTGACAGGGTGGCCAATGGTTAATAGTTAATGGTTAAAAGCAAAATAAATGTGCTTGACATCTAAGGTCATGTAGCACTATAGTAAATGTTAGTAAAGGGTGGTTGAGTTGGTGATCAGTTGTCAAAGCTGGGCAAAGGAATTGACGAGTGAATGGGTTAAGGTCGGGTGACGTAATGTAAAGAGGTTAGACCAAGTGAAGGATATATATGCGTTTGAGGAAGGAAAATAGATTGCCAAAGCAGAAAGTATATAGTGGATGGGTTATAAGAGGAAAGGATTTGACGAAGGTCGGGTCTGTGAGAACGGAAACCACGAATATTCTAATAAGGATAGTTATACTTTCGTTGATTTATGAGTGATAACGGTTGTAGTACGTGTTGGAGAATTTGAAGGGGAAGGAGTTAGAGGGTGAGATAAGGAATGAGAGGGGGGAGGTGCTGTTGTATCAGGAGGGGTATTAGGAGGTGGAGGGTCTGGGGAAGGGGATAGTTGTGTCAGTTTGGGACTTGAGTAGATAGTTTTGAATATCTTCAAGAGTTTCTGTAATGGAGTTGGTTGGGGAGTTTTGTGAGACAAAGGTTTTCTTGTGAGGGGGGGGAAGAGAAGACTGGTGTCTGAAGTGTAGGGGCAAAGGAAGGTGGAGGTGATTGTGTGGTAGGGGAAGAAGGGGTGGAACGTTTTGTCTGCTGCGGGTAGTGCGGGGAAGAAGAGGGGAAGGTGTTGGGGCTGTAATAGAGATTGCAGTGTCTGGATTTAGGATGGCAAAAGAATTTGACTGGGGAAGGTAGAAGAGGGGAAGTTAGATGGAGGAGGGACAGATTTAGGGGAGGGTTTAGGAGCTTGGGAGGTAGGGGGAGTGGCAGAGTGAGCGACATTACTGGAATAGGGAGTAATAGAAAAACCCCGTCGACGTGCTTCCTGTCTGGCTTCACGTAGAGTGAGTCCAAGTCTGAATCTAAGAGTTGCTACCTCAGACTCAAATTTGCAGGTGGGGCAACCCCTATAAAATACATTATGGGGGCCGCCACAGTTGGCACATGTGCGTGATTGTGCAGAGCAATTTGATCGAGTATGGCTAGGTTGGGCACATAGCAGGCATCTGCCTGTGGAACGGCAATGTTTGGCTGGATGTCCTAAATGCCAACAGTTTTGGCGCTGACGAGGAGGGATTCTCCACCGATGTAAACATTAAAGGGAAGGTCCTGTCTACGGAATGTAATTTTGACAATGTTAGTGGGGTTCATACGATGACCTTTGGGAGGAATGGAGTAGCATTGTACTGATATCGCATCATAGTCCGTGAGACTGGCGAGTAAGCCTCCACAATCTGACCAATTTTTGTTATAGATTGGGCAATTTTGTGGGGGAGATAGAAACAGTTCCGGTGCAAGTATTGAGTTTTGGATGGGGTTCTGCAGGGATGGGATTACCATATAGATCAGTTAGATTAGATAATGTTATAGCTTGGTTTTCAGATGTTATTGTGATGAGACGGGAACGGTCGGGTCGGCTACGGAGAGAGACTTTGCCTACTTGTTTTTGGAGTAAGGAGCTGTGGGAGGGATCACGGGATAAATAGAGTATTTAAGATTTTTGTACAGATGGGGGTAGTAGAAAGACGGGGGCGTGTGGAAGAGGGAGTAAAAAAAAAAGGGAGGTAGTGTTATGTAGAAGTGGGCAATAAGGCTGTAAGGTAGTAATAAGGGAGGATGGGGTAGTTGATGAAGAAGCTTGTGGGGGTAGAGGTGTTGAAGTTGAGCATGTTGGGAGAGTAGAAAGGTCTCCTGGGGTTGAGTGTTGACTAGGGTGGATACTGTACTAGTAGGCATTGAAGAGAGGGTAGTAGTTGTAGTGTTCAGAACCGTGGTCAAAGGAGAGCCTGGGGTTAGGGAATCGGGAAAGTTTGAGTTGTTAGGGCTATTTGATGAAGGGGCAAGCCTCATTACCCCTAATAGTGGAATAACATCTTCATTGATGGCCATGGTAAGCCTGGAATATGTTGGGGAGAGAAACCTGTCCACCCCACAGGGATAGGCGACTAAAGCAGGGGAATACCGGGCCCATGGCTCCCTCAGGCCGTTCAGGACTGGCACAAAGTCAACCTTTTCATCCTCTCCGCACGACTCTCACAACTTAGAAAGTGGATAGTAGGAGGAGTTGGTGAAGGGAAGGAAACGAACGAAAAAGTAGGAGGGGAAAAAAGACCATGCAATATTAGTTGAGTCCCAAGGTTGGGGAGTTCCCCAGCATTGGGTCCCAGTCTCTGCCTCCTAAGTCCCCCCACGACAACAACGGGCAAGGGATTGGGGGGGGGGGGGGGGGCTAAAAAAGAGTATTTAAAAGTTTTGTAGACATGGAAGTAGCAGAAGGACGAGGGCAGGAGAAAGAGGGAAGTACTGATATTACTGTGGGGAAATTGACAATAATGATGAAGATTGGTAGTAAGGGAAGAGGCTGTTGAAAATGAAAAAGACTGGAAGATGAAGAGATAGAGTGGAGGATGTTGGGAGAGAGGAAGGTTGGGTTACTTTTCTATGTATTTAACTAACAGTGTGTCCAGGAGGGGTAATAGTAGCAGCATTCAGAGTTGTGATAAAAGGAGAGCCAGAAACATTTAAAGTTAGTGGAGGTAGCTGATAAAGGGGCAAGCCTCAATGTCCATTATATGGGGTATGGTCTTTATAGAAAGTGGACAGAATGGATTGGAGAAGAGAAGGAAAAAGAAAACACCATGCAAAATTTGTTGAGACGATGGCTGTGGTCCAAAGTAAGGGCGATCCCCAACATAGGATCTGTCTCCATCTCCTATGTCCAATGCCTAACTACTGTTCTTTAACCCCTTGCCGACGGGGATGCCATGCCCAATGTGAGTCGACTTGTTTGTTTGTTTTTACACATAGATGGCTACAGTTGTACTAAGTCACCAGTGAGCCAAGTACGAGTACTGCCTCTCTTGCCCGTTCACCCTTTTCATCGATTTACGAAAATATTTAACGTTATCCTAATTTGCTGTTAAAAATAACACCATCTATATTTATAGCACTAGTAAGAATACATTTTTTCCCGCCAATTCAAGGAAAGGTGAAATCAGGACTAGCAGAGCCATCTATGGACAGAGATATTTCACAAAAATAAAAAAAATGAGTACAGCATCTTCCCCATTTTTCATTAATTTTCCCCGGCGGCAATGGGTTAAACTGTAATAACCTGCACTTCCTTTTTTTCTCTCACAGTAGGGTATCTTCCCTACTAGCCTAGTTATGTCACTTTTGCTTCTCTGGTAAGTTTATACTGCAAATCAAATGTAATATGATATCTATAACAGATATCTCTCTCTCAGTAACATGCACTCACACTTGCACACCCACCCCCACACCCACACCCACACCCCCACACACTCATACTCTCATACTTACACTCACACTGATGTCCTTGCACTTGCACAAAAAGGGGTTAGTTTTATTTGCCAATAAAAAAAATAACAAATTATAAAAAGTATATATTTTTGGAGAAAATGTATTTACACAGCATAGCGAGATAAAATTTCCCTCCACCTTTCACCAGGCTCATCTACCTTGGACTACAACTGGAAAGACATTATATCCACTTTGGTATATGTAAACACTTAAGCATGCCTATTTAACATGTACAGTTGTTTCTTGGAGGCAATTCAACCTGGTAAAAGAAATACTATGAGGCAAACATTATCATCATAGTTTCATATTTCTTAATGAAATATACATGGCAGGATCATCCATTAGGATTATTGATATCAGCCTCTAACTTCAGAATATTCCTTTTTGTATCCGTAATCATCTTTTGTACTGCTCTCACAAGTGCACTAACTGCCTGAATTTCATTTAGAGCACTAAGGTCTACAGGCATAGTGTCAGTCCCTGAAAGTGTCATAGTTATCTGGAAAAGAAGGAAAAATGACAATGACATGAATAATGTCTGTGTAACCATTTTCATATCTCTCTTTTAAAAGTTATCATCATGTGTTCCAACAGATAAACATAAAAGCACAAAGATTTTTGTCCTTTACCTTATATATCTGATGAACAATAGTCTTCATGTCATTTTTGATCAGGCGAATGTCTGACTGGAAACCCTTTATATCTGTTCTCCTACGTTCATCCATTCGTAGATTATCTTGCTTTAACATTTCAATCTGTCGGCTTAACTTCTGGCTTCTTTCCTACAAAAGAGATCCTTTATAGAAAATATTTTTTGGATAATAAAAGAGAAAAGGAAAAAAATCAGACAGCAAATAATAAAATATGATAAGAGAAATAAATTACCATTTGTCAACAGCACTACTCTTTTTATTCACTACCATTTGAGCCTACTACAGTCACCAAACCCAGCACTACCAACTGAGGGTGCAGTTACACAACTATGTATGAGCAGCTGACCCCCCCCCCCCCATGGGCCAACATACTGCAATCACTGTTGGTAGATAAAACATTCTAATAATGATGAATATTGATGAATAGACAAAATCATAAGCATAATATTGACTTCCTTGCATATGTTAGTGTGACATTTTAGTTCCTGGCAGACTCTCCCCCTTCCAATGGTGTCAATGCAATCACCAGGGAAGACCCCATTCTAGAATATCAGTCATGACCAAGGGCTAGTGTGGGACTGGTGTGTGACCTAGAATATAGCAGCTGGTTATGCATTTGCTCTTACTTCATTGATTTGAATATATATAAAAAATATATTTTCAATGCCTGCACAGCTCTTTTTCTTCTTTTTTTGAAAATGAGGGTGATATAAAATTAACTGGAAAATCATTTCCAACATGATGTTCTTATGGCTGTTAAATATCACTAAATGAAGATAAAGAATATAGTATGGAAGAAAACAACAACAACAAAAAATACCTTGTATAGTTTCTCCATGGCTTCTTTCTCTTCACGAAGTTTGCACATGGTTTGCTCTAACTGCATACACTGTGATTCATACATGTAGCGCATCTCTTCTGCCTCTTGTAGCTCCAGCTATACAGTAGAAGAAAATTATGTATCATTTTCAAACATTTACAAAAATATATATAAATACATTAACCCAACCACCATGGATTTAAGTTCCGTCCCCTGTATTTTTTGTGAATTTTGTTACATGAAGATACTACTCAGCCATCAAGGAGTCTATCAGTAGGCCCTAGTGACTGATCCTGATTTCCCCATTCCTTGAATTGGTGGGAAAATATGTTTTCCCTATCAATACAATTAATATCGATACTGTTATTATTGTTATTGATGTCATGATTAATAAATTGTTATTTAAATCTTGGTAACATTTAAGACATTGAAATACAAAAGGCACTTTCCAAAAATCAAGGACAAGGGTAAACAGGTGAGACAGGTAGGACTGACTCCTTGGTGACTAAGCACTTGCAAAGCCATCTTTGTGTAAAGAGAATAAATAAACTTATATTACAGTGGGCATGGTATGTATTCTTGCCATCTGTGATGATTGGGTTAAGTGGAGACACTTACACATTTTCCCAACAAAAGGAAATAAATACAGACATAGATGAGGTCTGGTGAAAAGTAAGTTTTGGTTACAGCCTTTAAATGTTCTTCCGTTTAACCCCAAAATGCTGACAACCACTTGACAGTGGTGGATAGGCTGTGTTCCTGATATATAAATTGAGTAAAGTAAAGTAGCATGATTAACATTATATATATACACACATATATATACATACATATATAAATATATATACATATACATATATACATATACATATACGTATATATATATATATATATATATATATATATATATATATATATATATATATATATATATACACATATATAAATGTATGTATGTATATGTGTGTATATATATATATATATATATATATATATATATATATATATATATATATATATATATATATATATACATATATATATACATATATATATACGTATATATATATGTATATATATACGTATATATATATGTATATATATATGTATATATATACATATATATATATATATGTATATATATACATATATATATACGTATATATATACATATATATATACATATATATATACATATATATATACATATATATATATATATATATATATATATATATATATATATATATATATATATGTATATATATATATGTATATAGATACATATATATACATATATATATACATATATATATACATATATATATACATATATATATACATATATATATACACATATATATATATATATATATATATATATATATATATAT